GGGTAAGTATTATATTGCTTATTCTCATATTTATTTCTTTAAAATTTTCTTATTCTTATCTACATGTACTTTTTGGTAATAGGTCCAACATACATGACTCAACCTTTGATAATTCTTTAATTGTCGATTTGACAAAAATGATCGATGAATTCAATGTTCTTGCTCAATCTTTTAGAAGAGTTAGAGATTTTTTACACTATGATCCAAGAAAAGATTTTAAATTGCGTTTGTTTCGAAATCGATCCAAGGATTCTCGGGTATACAATACACCTTCATCAGATGAGGTAGCAGCATTGATAGTTGGTGACTTGGATAACATGGATGTAGGCAGAGATATAATTGTCCAAAAGGTTTGTGGTGAATTGACAAGACTACATGAAACACATACAGCCTTTATTCCTTTGCAATATCCTTTGATATTTCCATATGGAGAAGATGGCTATCAAGAAGATATTCCAATAAGAGAATCTGTGAACCGTACTCAAATGCGTAAAAGAATTCGTATTTCTTTAAGGGAATTTATTGCATTTAGAATTCAAGAGAGAGTTGTTGAATTTGGTAATATTGTCATGACACGTAGATTATTCCAACAATTCTTGGTTGATTGTTATACTATGATTGAAGCTCAAAGATTATCATTCATACGAGCAAATCAAAAATTAATTCGTTGTGATCTTCTTAACGGATTACAAGAAGCAGTCAGAAGAGGTGAAACTGATCCTTCTTTACTTGGCAAACGTGTTGTTCTACCTGCTTCATTTACAGGTGGTATGAGATACATGTTTAATAACTGTCAAGATGCTATGGCTATTTGCAAAAGATTTGGATACCCAGATTTATTTATAACGATCACATGCAATGTAAAATGGAGTGAAATACATGATTTTGTTCATGCAAGAGGTTTAACTGCTGCAGATAGACCTGATATTGTTTGTCGAGTTTTCAAAATGAAGTTAGATCAAATGATGTCAGATTTCAAGAAAGATAACTTCTTTGGAAAAGTCAATGCAGGTTTGTATAATTCATTACTACATATTACAAATTTAAATAATAGCGATTTTATATCTTATATCTTATATCTTATTTCCTATTTATTTTGATGATAGGAATGTACACTGTAGAGTTCCAAAAACGAGGACTTCCACATGCTCACATCTTATTATGGTTGGATAGTGAAAATAAATTGCATAATGGAAGGGACATTGATAAGGTAATCTCTGCTGAATTACCTCATTCAGATTTGTATCCAAAACTTTCTAGCATGGTTGCAAGTTACATGATCCATGGTCCATGTGGAGCTGCAAAATTCAATTCACCTTGCATGAAAGAAGGTAGATGTTCAAAATATTATCCCAAGAAATTTACATCTTCAACTACTATAGATGAAGACGGATATCCGTCTTATAAACGTCAAGATAATGGCATATTTGTTATAAAGAATGGACTTAAACTAGATAATTGTAGTGTTGTTCCTTATAGTCCACTTCTTTTGATGAGGTATCAAGCTCATGTTAATACTGAATATTGCAACAAGTCAAATTCAATCAAGTATTTATTTAAATATGTCAACAAAGGACCAGATAGAGCAACCATTAACATTAGTAGTAGTTCTGCAGATTCTACTAATTCAGAAGTTGTTGATGAAATTAAAAGATACTATGATTGTAGATACTTATCACCATCTGAGGCAGTTTGGAGAATTTTTGGTTTTGATATTCATCATAGATGGCCATCTGTGCAAAGATTGACATTTCATCTCATAAGTCAACAATCAATTTTTTTTAAAGATGATGACCATATTCATGCCATCTTGAATTCTAATGAAGATGTTCACACAATGTTTACTGCTTGGTTTGAGGCTAATAAAAGGTTTGTTGAGGGAAATAACCTAACATATGCTGAATTTCCAAGTAAGTTTGTATGGATGCCTCAACAGAGAGAATGGAAACCAAGAAAGCAAGGATATAATATTGGACGACTGACGTATGTTCCTCCAGGTTCTGGTGAGTTATATTATATGAGGATATTGTTAACAATACAAAAAGGATGCATTGATTATGATAGCATAAAGACGATCAATGGGATAACTTACCAAACTTATCAAGATGCTTGCCACGCTTTGGGACTATTGGCAAATGATAGAGAATTCATTGATGCAATCAATGAAGCAAGTAAACTTGCTTCAGGCAATCAATTGAGAAAGTTGTTTGTTACATTATTAGTGATGAACACAATGTCTAAACCAGATGTTGTTTGGAATTCTACATGGAAATTGTTGGCAGATGATATTTTATATCAAAAAAGAAAGGAGTTAAATCTACCAGGTATACAAAATTTTTTATTTGTAAGTTTTAATCACTTATTTGATTGTTTATCATGTTATGTTATCTTCCAATGCAGGTTTTCAAATTGAAGAATCTGAATTGCATAATCTTTGTCTATTACGAGTAGATGAATTGCTTATGTCAAATGGTAGGTCCCTAAAAGATTATAGTTGTTTACCTCAACCTGATTTTTCAGATTCATTCATATATGACAATAAATTTATTGTTGATGAACTTAATTATGATAAGGAAGAAATGAATAAAGTACATTCAACATTGTTCCAGTCATTGACTCATGAACAACTATGTGTTTATGAAGAGATCATGAGAGCTGTATTTTCAGAAAAGGGGGGTTTTTCTTTTTGTATGGATATGGTGGTCCTGGTAAGACATTCCTTTGGAAAACTTTGTCAGCTGCCATTAGGTCTAAGGGAATGATTGTTCTTAATGTGGCTTCAAGTGGAATTGCTTCTTTGTTACTTCCTGGAGGTAAGACAGCTCATTCAACATTTTGCATACCATTATTAATTAATGAGGAATCAACTTGCAATATACCTCAAGGAAGTGTTCGAGCTAAACTTTTGATGGAAACAAAACTAATTATATGGGATGAGGCTCCAATGATGAATAGATTATGTTTTGAAGCATTTGATCGAACCTTGAGGGATATTATGAAAGCAACAAATGTAGAGAATCATGATAAACCATTTGGTGGTAAAGTTATTGTGTTAGGAGGTGATTTTAGGCAAATTTTGCCTGTTGTTAGAAAAGGATCAAGACATGATGTGGTGAAGTCATCTATAAATTATTCTGAAATATGGACAAATTGCAAAGTTCTAAAGCTTACAGAGAATATGAGGTTAAATACCGCAAAAACAAATGATAGTGCAAAAGATATAAAAGAATTTGCTGATTGGATATTAAAGATTGGAGATGGAGATGTGCCTTTGAATGAAAATGGTGAAGGACATATTCACATACCCAAAGATCTTTTAATTGAAGGCAATGAAACACCTTTACTTTCATTAGTTAATTTTGTCTATCCTCATTTTGTGCATAACATGATGTATGCTTGGTAATTTTGATGATGGAGCGATACTTTGTCCTACTATTGATGCAGTTGAGGAAGTTAATAATTTTATTTTATCTTTGATTCCTGGTGAAGAAAAAATATACTTGAGTTCCGATACACCATGTCAATCAGATGAGGATCAGGAAATGCAAGGTGAATGGTTTACATCTGAATTTCTTAATGACATTAAATGTTCAGGTATTCCAACTCATCGACTTAGATTAAAAGTTGGTGTTCCAGTAATGTTGTTGAGAAACATTGATCAAGCAAATGGTTTATGTAACGAACAAGATTGCAAGTGAATGATTTGGGAAAAAATGTCATATCGACTCTCTGTAATTGCTTGGAAAAAATATTGGAGACAAAATCTTTATACCAAGAATGAATTTGATTCCTTCGATCCTGGATTTCCTTTCAAGTTTCAAAGGAGACAATTTCCATTATCATTGTGTTTTGCAATGACAATCAATAAGAGTCAAGGCCAATCACTCTCTAAAGTTGGACTTTATCTTCAGCGTCCGAGTATTCACCCATGGTCAGTTCTATGTGGCAATTTCTAGAGTCAAAACAAAGAAAGGACTGAAAATGCTTATATTGGATGAAGAAGGAAATGTAACATCATGTACTAAAAATGTAGTATACAAAGAAATCTTTGAAAACCTTTAAACATGTGCAGGTACACTATTATACGAAAAACTACATGTTTACTTCATTTATTTGTTATAATTTTTAATTATTTACTCTATGAAAATGTAGATTTATGATGTTTATTATTGCTTCAAAATTATGCTTATTTAATGATCATAAAATTGTACAATTGGTAAGTTTTATTCACAATCATATAACTATTTTACAAATTATATATTTTGTCATTATTTATTCTTTTTCTTTCTTTATTGTTTAATTGTGTAATATGTATTATGAAAAATAAAATTACAATATTTTTTACTAGATTTATCTTTTTTATGCAATATATCAAATTTATAAATTATTATACTAATTTATTTTGATTTGTTATTATTGCATATTATTCAAATGTTACATTATATTATAATCATTATGTTATTATAGAAGGTATTTTTTAAATTTTGTATGATATAATTTTATCGATTATATTTTGTATTTATTGTAAGTTTTTTTTTATTTTATACAATTTTTTTAACATAATTTTTTCATTTAACATTTTTCAAAAATCCCGTGCGTTGCACGGGTTATGGTACTAGTTATATTACATACTACTAATTGACACGAGGCACTGCTTTAAAGTCGCCACGTGTCTCAAAATGGAACTCCTCAACCATCTTTGTCCAATGATCCTCTTGTAATCTACATCTTCATTATTCCTCTGATCATCCCAGGTGAGTCACATTCAATTCTCGTTCTACCATCATCACACGTTGCACTTCTGACTACACCTTTGACCACATGTCCTCCTTCATGCAAAATCATCACCCCCACCTCTTCTATCCCAACCCCACTCTTCTTCTTTTTAACCACCTACACATCCACATTCCCTTCCACACCCCACAATCTACATCCTGATACGTACTAAATTACATCATTTCAACAAATTTACGTACCAACCACAAGTACACAACAACAACATGGCGTCTCAACAGTTACCTCGCAGACAACACACCACCACCGAGAGAAAGGTTCAGCTTGGGAAAGACATGGTTCCCAAGATGACCACCCATTTTGAGAACCTTGCCGAGAAAGGTAATGAATCAGATATCACCGGTGCCAGAGAGCCTCCGCAAGCGTTACAAGGTGGAGATCAGGTAAAAATGCATCCTGGTAAAACCACTGGCGATGTTGGTGGACGTGGGATAGCCAGAGAGACTCCCGAATTGAGTGCACAGTTTGAGTCCCTTGCTGACAAAGTAAAGGCAAGTGACCATGCAGCGAATGTAGTTGGAAACGAAGAGAGAGAAGGTGGTGGCTATGTTCGTGATGTTGGGAAGTTCAAAATGGAAAGTGAAGGGGGAGAAAGAGGGAACAAAGATAGAGAAGAACTCGAATCACGAAGCAGAGAGGTTAGAGGACGAACGCAAAGAGGAAGAGAAAGTGAAGGACAAGTAGTGGCAGAAAAAGGGAGAGGAACAAAACTTGGTGCTGAAAAAGAAGGTGCAAGTGGTGCGGTTATAACTTGCACATTGGAAAAAGGTGATAGCAATACTCAGAAACCAAGAGAAGAGAGTGAAAGTGAAAAATCCATGTTAAAACAGGTTTCCAACTACACTGATCAAGCTTCGAAAGACCTCAAGGAGAGGTACGAGAGAGAGAAGAAAGCAGCGAGCGAGACACTGAGCAACACAGCACAAACCGCAACACAAGCGAAGGACGCAACGGTAGAGAAGGCTCAACAAGGCTGTGCTGTAACCAAAGACACCATTTCAAGTGCCGCAAAAACCGCTTCAGAAAAAGCTGCGCCGGTGGCAGAGAAGGCCAAAGGGTACACTCTTCAAGCGGCGGAGAAGGCCAAGAGTGCGGGTGGAACGACGGCGAATTACGTCGGAGAGAAAGCGGCGCAAGCAAAGGACCTTGCCGTGGAAGGTGGGAAGAGTGCGGGGGGGTATGCTGCGAAGGTGGCTGCGGATTTGAAGGACAGGGCGACTGCGCTGGGGTGGGCCGCGGCCCATTTTTCGACGGAGATGACGGTGGAAGGGACGAAGGCCGCGGCCCATGTGGTTGAGGGGGCGGCGGGGTATGCTGGACAAAAGGCCTCTGAGCTTGCTTCAAAGTCGGCGGGTGCTTTTAAAGGCTTGGCTGCTTCAGCTGGTGAGTCTGCTAAGGGATACACTGCAAGGAAGAAAGAAGAGGCACAGAGGGAATTGGAAGCCAAAAGAGCCTCTCAACCTCAGGTTTCATATAATATAATCACTCTTTTTATAAGCTTTATATTATCTTAACATCTAATTCAACCTCAAAATCAGTTTTGATAGGGTCAGGTTCTCCTTATTTATATACATATTTAGTTTTGACAATATATTGTTTCTTATATATATATATATATATTTGTGATATTCTTCTTCAATCAAAATTAGTATTTCACTTATGTCATCTAGTACTATTTTCTCGTCAGAGTTGGTACTATTTTGGTTATGGACAAAACTTGGACAAAGATTGTTAGATGTCTGTGATACTGTTTTCTAATCAAAATTGTAGTACTGTTTTTCAATCTGGTATCTCTACCAGAGAGACAGATTAAATAGTGAACTTACTTGCACACTTCATGAATCTGAATATAGAACCAAGCTTCGATTTAATGGATAATTATTAGTTATCAACTTTTAAAATTGAGGGGTTGTGTTTGTTTTGTGTACTTTTTGGAAGTAGGAATGATAAGAAAAAATGTGTCATTTAGCCTTTTGGAAGACAATATACTGAGAAATGACACTTTGGTTTAGGAAGCTGAAGAGAGGCGATCAGAAGGAGTTGGCAAAACTGTAAGCCAGAATGCAGAAAAACCGAAGGCATATGGGGGAAGCTCTCAGGAGGAGGAAACTGGAAGCACTGTGTTGACAGCAATAGGCGAAACAGTGAGCAATGTTGGGACGAAGGTGAAGAAACCGTTCCTGATTGGTGGGAATGAGAAGGGAAAAGGGAAGAAAGCGGGAATGAGAAAAGTGGAGGGCAAGAACAAGGAAAGGGTGTGATTGGTGAAACGTTGAAAAGTGAGAAGTTGGGTGATGCCAAACAGAGAGAGATGTTAGACAACATCACTGATAACATCGTGAAACCATAGCTGAAAGAGAGATGAGGCCGACCCTTGTATCAGAGACTCGTGTAACTGATTGTGCCAAACAAGAAGTGTCACGAAGTGCTTGAGTTTAGTTGAGTCTACGTGAGCAGTTGTGTTTTAAGGTGTAGTTTTATGTCATACTTAATTTCTGTTATTTCCATGTTGTGGGTTTGTTCTATGGAATTTTGTGACTGAATAAGAATCTCCTTTTTGAGATGATCAAGAACTGTTAACATATATGTGTCTGGTCGTAAACAATGCGTGTGGCTTCCTAGGCATGCATGTAAATAGTTAATTTTGTTGCACTTTTTATATTCAATTTAATAACGTGCTACAGAATTACTTGTTATGTTAACGCTACCATCATTATGAATTAAACTTCTTTGTTGTTATTGTTAACTTGCACGAATGATGGCATTTAAAACAGTTTTTAATGTTAAAATATGATTAAATAAAATTAAGGTGAATATCTGTCAATCAACATAAGAGTCAACTATCTCTAAAGAGCTATATATGGTGATGGTGTAGCATTAATTTGACGTGCAAGTAATACTCTACAAAAAGAGTTTTCATGGTTACCATTAATGGAAATTTGTCTTGTTTTAAAGAGAGGCCGTGTGTATGAAGTGGAAAAGCAAGCAGAAGAAAAAAAGAACAGAAGGAATAAATTCAGATTAATGTACAAGTTCATGTCTATGAACCAGAATAATTATTAGTTGATACCCTGTTCAATCCAAACAGAGAACTAATGAATACTTGCCTTTCAACATATATTTGAGCTTTTCAAGAGTCCCAAATGGGGCCAAAGGCAGGGATGTTAGCCCTCTTGCATGCCCTAAGGACGTCTCTACTGCCTTCAGGGTTGCTTGTGACGATGACAACTTCAACATTCCACCTAATGGCAGCATTCACGCTCATCTCAGCTACATCGGGACGACCAGAAATTGCTGTGTCATGCACCATAACTTTCTCTGTAGAGAATTTGTTGACCAATTCTCTTATCTCCTTTCCATAGTTCAATTCAATATCCTTGGCCACCCAAATTAAGCACACATCAGCTTTACTAGGCTGCAAAAGAAATGACAAGAACACACAAATCCCTGACCCTGTGGCAACCAACAATACCCTTTCATACAAATTCACTAGGTAAGGCAAGCCTGCAAAATGCATGGTGCGGACCCAAAGATGCTTTGGTGGGGTGCTAATCAAGGACTTGGTGAAGTCACCAACTGCTCCAGCAAGCATCATGTGCTCTTTCTTTCCATCAGATATGATTCCAAAGGCATGCCATTCTGAAAAGGGTGATGGACTTATTCTACCTAGTAAACCTGCTTTAACACCCCCTTCAAACCTGATGATAGAGGCGTGGCTCGATGGAGCTGATACACTCACTTGTACCTTTCTAACACTCAGCCAAGGAACGATAATGAGAATTGTGATAGCCCAAGTGAACCAAAACTCTTGCTTCTTGACCACCTTAGACATGGTCAAATCATAGGTATGTGAGCTAGGTTCATAGCTTATGGAGAGAAGAATGAATAACCAGAGAAGGATGAGAGCCATCCATCCAGCAAAACGGTGGATTCTCTCAAAAACATTATGATGAAGGTGGCGGACAAGAGGAAAAGCAGCTAGAGAAGAGAGTAGAATGAGTGAGAGGATGGTGAAAGCAACCCCAATTATCTCTGGGGAAGTTTTGTCTTTGTTTTTCAAAGTAAGAACGATGGAATAAACAATCCAGGCTATAGAAGAAACCCCACAACCACTATGGATTCCTCCAACACTTTGAAGGAATGAAGTAGTGGTAGTTTTGATTCCAAGAGAAACACAAGGCCTCCCAATGGTCTTCACAGCCAACCAGAAAAAAACTCTCAAAACAGCCTCACTTCTACATAGTGTTAGAGCTAGAATGTTCCCAATAGAGAACAGTGTAGCTCTTGTCTTGGCATAAGGGAAATACCCTGCAGCTGAAAGAGCCAACGCCACCACATTCAACGCCATGCAAATCATAAATAGCCCTTTGTAGAATGTGAACCCTTGATCTAGCAGAATTATGGACAGCCTTGACCTCTTTGGTGGATCAGTTCTGGAAAGTAGCTTTTGCACCTTAACTCCATTAGCTTTATCTGGTTTCTCTATATCTTGAACTTGAGCAATGAACTCTACCTCCAAATCACTGGCATCAAAGTCAATGTCACAGAAGTGGCTGCTGGCCCTGCTCCGAGTTGGACTAATTGTATGAGGCTGAGGAAGAACTTTGAATGAATTGGCTCGAGTCCATGGAAGCCAAAGCCAAGTTCCAATTCGTTCCTGTTTTGTGGGTGATCCAATTGCAAAATGGTTGCTTCTATTAGGATTGATTTCAAATGCTACCCCACGACAACTTGAAAACCTGGCTATCTTTATCTCTGTGCTTTCCATTTCTTCCACTATGAATTGATGATACCTATTGGGTTGAGTGTTTCAATGCTAAATAGAAAATATGATAATCATTGCAGCTATAGGTGGTGGAATTTTTAAGAGGGTTGCATGTTAGCTTCTAGACAAGGAAGGCTCATAATATATATAAAATAGTATGCTAAAACCTCTTCAAACACTTACGTGAAATTCTCTTGGTTATAGAAAATATTAAATAAATTAGTAATTATTTGATAAGGAGGGTGTGTATACCATAACAGAGGCTGCAAAGTAGAGTTGAAGACTCATTTGAAATGGAAAATGTTCTCATGAACCAACCGTGATCACAAAAGTCTACTTTATCTAATCATTCATATATATCAGAGCATTTAACTATTATCCTCAGGCCAATAGTAAACTACGAAGATATGACGATAATCCTTGTTATAGCAAGGAGTGTGTGGTTAGAAGTCTTGTTAGTTATTTATAGTATAATAATCTTTTGGAAATATGCGCAAACCAGTTTTTAGTTGATTTGATTATAAGACAAGCATTAAAAAATCAGACCATGGTGCTCTAATCAGCAGCAGTTTCATTATTTAACATTTCCTATCCAGATTAATTTCGTTAGGTTGAAGTTATTATTACTCCAAGTTCAAACATGATAAGCTCTTGGTTTATACAAAGCTTTTTCTCACAAAATAAACAATAGGCACATTGACTGCACGTTCGAATGTGCTAAAGAAAAAAATTCTCCAAACATATTTTATACCCACCAAATCTTTGTGATATTGCTGGTGAAGTTCTATGAACTTAGCGCTATTGTTGGCCACAACCATAAGAGACAAATACTCGTAGCTTACATTCTAACATTTTTCCGACAAATGAAGCAAACAAACGGAATCTAATTTGCAACAATGATAGCCTCAAGCATTAGTTTGTGGAAAATGACAAAATTTATTGATTTTCCCATTTTTCATTTATCTTTAAAATGAAGTAATTCTCAAACCATATTCCAGAGTGTTAACAGAGAATTAGTTTTTGCACATCTTCCTCAAATATGGGTGATATCATTTTGACTTGAATTATTGAGGAAGAAGTCGTAGTAACATAAATTGTTTTGGGCGGGGATATATATATAATATCATAGTATCATTCATCCTTCTTTCAAGTATTATTTATTTTTAAATTTTAATTTATCCCATCTTTTATATTAAAAAAAGTCTAAAATCAAGAAGAAATGATGTTCCTACGTTATTCTTGAATAATATAGGATTTAAGTATATATTGAAACTTCTAAGAGTAGAATTTAAGTATATATTGAAACTTCTAATCTAAGATTAAGATTAAGAATAGAAGGTCGAAGTTTTACTTTCAAATTCACGTTCGTTATTTAAGAATTGGGAATTAAGAGTAGTTTTCCAACCATTTTTAAAGAAAAATTGGCAACAAAGCTGTATTTTAAAGGTCTTTAATTTAGTGTAATTTTTTCTTTTTTCAGTTTGATTTCTTTGAAGGTATACGCCTTTAATTGTTTTTTGATTTATTACCTATGTTACTCTTTATTGTAAGAATGCAATGACAGAGACATGATAACAATGGGAAAACACTGGAGAATGTGAAGGGTTTAGTGAAGTTTCATGATCATATTGCAGATACATAATGATCCAACAAATATATTCAGAACCTCTCATACATTCAAACTTTCTAATCTCCTTCTGATATTGTTCTTCATTTAGATATGTATTTATATTCTATTCAGCACACCCACATGTACAATTGTATGTATTATAAGGTATCTTTGATCGAAAGTTATGTGAAATGTTGAAACATTATAGGCAATGATTCCTTATCATTGAGGCATCTCTGGCCATATAATTATAGAAAAAAAATTGAGGAAGGAAAGATAGAATACAATTTGGTTTTCATAGAGACCTTTCATCCAACCACTTCTTCATTCTTCCACTTCATTTTATATTACATGATACATTATTTGTTACATATGAAACATTTTAATTAGCATTAAAATAATTATTTCCTCTACCAAATTTCATTAGTTTCTACATAGTATGTCTAAATACTAAACTTATAAAGTGTCGAAGGCAAATTGCACTTTGCCAAATACCAACAATTTTCACTTTTATAATAAACAGTAAATAATTAATTTTCTCTATATATATGCTTATTCTTATATTGGAATTAAGTGGGAATGAAGAAAATAATAAAAGAAAAATGAGATTGTTTAAATAGAAAAAAAAAAGAAAAAAAGGTACAAGTTTATAATCGATAGAATTGATTTAATAAATTAAAGAATAAATAATAAAGTAAAATAATGAATGGAGAAAATATTTTTCATAATTTATAAACAAATTTATATTATATAAATTATTTTTATAATAATTTATAAGCAATATTAAATTATAAAAAATATTATAAAAGAATTAAAATATACATTTTTAGACGTTTTTAGATAATAAATTAAATATATACAATTAAATATGAGATAATTATTTTAAAAATTTTAAATAATATTAAAATTATCAAAAAATATAAATATCTAAATAAATAATATAATTTGGTATCATTCTTCATGCATTGTTTTTCTAAATAATACAACCTAATTGGTGACAATATCTTTATGTCCTTTTTATTATATTTTAATTTTTTTATTTTAAAATTAGATATAATCAAATTTAATTTGAATGATTATTATGTTTATTTTAAAATTATTTAATATAAATTTTTAAAATAGAAATAATCTTTTAAATTCATATTTGTGTTTTTATTTATTTAAAAAAATAAGTTTTGTAAAGATGTTTGACTTTTAAAGTTGAATTTGTTTGATTTTTTTAATATTTTATATAAATATGTGAATTTTAGTAAAATATAATATTTATAATGTTTCTCTAGATTTTATATATATCTATATATATATATATATATATATATTTTTTTTTTGTGAAAATCAATTTTTATTAATATAATAAACAAACTATTTAGTCTCATATTAAAATATATATATATATATATATATATATATATATAAATATATATATATATATATATATATATATATAACTTAATAATTTTTACAAGTAATATTTATATTCAAATTTAATATTAGTTAAAAATTATATAATTAAATTATATGTTTTTAATAAGAAAAAAAATGAATATATGATATATTAAAGGTTAATTATTTTTAAAAGGCAAAGGCATACCTAATCAATTATGCTAGTCTTTTTCGTCTTTTTTTTCATTACATTATATACTATTAATTTGATAATATAATGTATTATAAAAATGCCTGTTTAAAATTTAATAAAAATGAATATGGATACAAAATAAATAATGATAAAAAAATAAGGGTTAAGTATGTTTTTAGTCCCTGTACTTTCATGTGAAATTGGAAATAGTCCCTCAGTCAAAGTTCACATAAAAATGATTCATATACTTTTGAAATGATTGAAATATGTCCATATTTTAAATGACATTAAATATATGGTGACTTGTTTAACAGAGATAATATGACTCATTCATTATTTAATACGTGTAATTATTTAGAAAAAAAGAAGCAAAACTCTTCTTAAAAAAAATAGAAATTATTCAACAGAGATTATTATTTAAAAAAAAAACAAAATTAAAAAGTAGAAACTTTTATTTTCTCCTCACGCACTAAAGCTCTTCAGTTCTTGTCACAACCACTGTTCATTCTCTCTTCTTTTCTCGTCACAACTACTTTTCGTTCTCTCTTCTTTTCTCGTCACACACCAAATGCCTTTTTTTTCTTCTCCTTTCTCTGTAAATAAGTCAAAGTGACATTGAAGTTCGAGGGTTCCATATTGTGGTTCGACTGACAGTGTGATGGTGGTGCACAACGTATGTGCGACGGTGGTATACCATAACTAGGGTTTTTATTTCCGAAAATTAAGGTAGAAAAGTTTAAATGAGTTATATATGGCAAAGAAGTTTAAATTTCTTTTTAAATGACTTTTAAATGTTATAAATGCGGATTTAAATAACTTTTAAAAGTTTGACACCTTTTAATTTTATTTTTTTAAATAATTACACGTGTCAAGTAATGAATGAGTCATACCTTTTCTATTAGACAGGTAACCATTAACGTTTAAAATAAGGACCTATTTTAATCATTTCAAAAGTATAGAGATCATTTTTATGTGAATTATAACAGAGAAACTATTTTCAATTTCACATAAAAATATAGGGACTAAAAACATATTTAACCCAAAAAATAAATATTAAAAATTTATTGTTTTAATATAAGATGAAAAAAATCACTTAATAAAAAACATTTATTAATAATTATAGAATTTTTTGTTATTATTATCTTACATGCTATAAACGGATATAGATATATAAATAAGATAAAAATAAATTTATTGATCATTATATACCATTCAATTAAGATATTGTATAGAAGTATGATTTCTTTATTTTATTTTTTTATTATTTCAGAATAAAAGATTTTTAAAATTGGGTAAGTTCAAATAAAAGAAAGATCCAAAAAGTCTTATCTTATGTGATTCATTTGTTTTCTTTAATTCATAATTTTACTTTTCTTTATCAATGTTTATATTCATTTTTTATTTTATTATATATATAATGCAATAAAAATTATAATTATAATTGAAAAAATAATTTTTATTTTTTTTAAAGAACAAAATATTGTTTTTAAATATTTTATTTATTGACAAAAACTAATTAACTTATAGGATAAAATATAATTTTAAAGATTTTTATATTTATTTATTATTTAGTAGTTTAATTAATAAAAATACTAATAAAAATGTTGATGTTGCACTATCAAGAATAAATATTAGAAATTAAAAATAATAAAATGAGGAATAATTTGAAATCATGATAATTATTATTTAAAAAAAATAAAAGACCCATAATTAATCATGTAATTGAGATGAAAAATTATATCCTTCTTCCATTATCAGTTTTCCACCTCAACTTCCCTTAAAATAGTTCAATTCCTTAATATATATATATATATATATATATATATATATATATATATATATATATATATATATTTCACTAACCTATATGTGTTATGATATGATAATTATGTAGATGAAAAATAATATATTATGAAAAAAGAAATCTCCAAACATATTTTATACCCACCGAATCTTTGTGATATTGCGGGTGAAGTTCTATGAACTTAGCACTATTGTTGGCCACAACTATAAGAGACACAAATGCTCGTAGCTTACATTCTACATTTTTCCGACAAATGAAACAAACAAACGGAATCTAATTTGCAACCAATGATAGCCTCAAGCATTAGTTTGTGGAAAATGACAAAATTTATTGATTTCCCCGTTTTCTTTTTTCTTTAAAATGAAGTAATTCTCAAACTATATTCCAGAGTGTTAACAGATAATTAGTTTTTGCACATCTTCGTCGAACATGGGTTATATCATTTTGACTTGAATTATTGAGGAAGAACCTAAGTTGTAATAACAAAAAATCGTTTTTTGAAATATATAAATAAATATATATATATATATATATATATATATATATATATAATCAAATCG